CAAGAGATCAAGGGTGTATTTCCTTTGATTGAGAAATAGGCTTTTCTATGATGTGGCAAGCTTAATACCGAGAAAATATTTAAGATGTCCCAGGTCCTTGAGTGCAAACTTGCTTCAAAAAGCAAGCTTAAGAAAGTGAACTTCTTCAGTGTTGTCACCAGTCACTATGAGATCATCAATATAGATTAAAACAATTAACTTCCCAACTGAACCAATACGAACAAAAAGAGAGAAGTTAGCATTGCTTCTTTGAAAGCCAAATTCTTCAAACACCGAGCTCAGTTTTGCATACCATACGCGTGGAGACTGTTTCAATCCATCAATGGATTTGTACAGTTTACAGACCATGTCAGAATCACTAGATTGAGGGTGACCTAGTGGGAGTTTCATGTACACTTCTTCCTCCAATTCACCATGTCAAAAGCGTTATTCACATCAATTTGACAAAGAGGCCAAGACTGATTCACAACAACCGATAATAGAACCCTTGCAGTGTTCATTTTGACCACTGGAGCAAAGGTTTCCTTGTAATCTAAGCCATAGGTTTGAGTGAAACCCCAAGCCACCAAACGAGCCTTGTGTCTTTCAATAGTCCCATTTGTGCTGAACCTCATTTTGTACACCCAACGATTACCCACTACTTTCTTCCCTTTGGGAAGTTTAACTACACCCCAGGTTCTATTATCATGAAGAGCTTGCAGTTCATCCCTCATTGCATTTCGCCAAATTTCAAGTTCATTGGCTTCTTGAAATGTTCGTGGTTCATGGGTACTATCCAAGGTACTAAGAAAGGAAGTATAAGCAGGTGAAAACTACTTATAAGACACAAAATCCATGAAGGGATAACTAGAAGCATAAGTAACATAATCATGAAGTCGAAGTGGGGGATGTCGAACCCGAGAAGGATTTCGTCGAATTGAGACTTGAGGTTCAAGACCAGTGGCTTGAGGAGATGACAGCTCTGAAGGTAAGGTTGAAGTATCAAGCGATGTGGAGTTTTTGTGGTAGTGAGGGACACTAGGCAAGGGAAACATGTTGCTTAAAAACTCCCCTTGACATTCATCACTTAGTTTCTTTGAGAAGTAAGGGATGTTTTCATCAAATCTCACATCTCTTGAGACCACAAGTTTTCTTGTGGTTGGATTATAACACTTGTAACCTTTCTGGGTGGATGAATAACCCATTAAAACACATTTGGTAGCTCTAGGATCAAGTTTATCACGGTGAAAAGGTTGATTGTGAACAAATCAAGTGGAACCAAACACTTTCAAGTGTGTGAGATCAATTTTTATGCCCTTCAATACCTCATATGGAGACTTGAAACTTAGCACTTTACTAGGCAATCTATTGATAAGGTATGTGGCTGTAAGTACACCTCGTGACCAGAATTTCTTTGACACATTCATATGAATTGATCTTGTTTTCTCAAGGAGGTCTCTATTCTTTCTCTCAGCAATCCCATTCTGTTGGGGTGTGCCAACACATGTTGTTTGATGCAGAATACCATGAACACTCAGGTATTGAGACATGTTATGGGACATGTACTCAGTGCCATTGTTGGATCTTAGTGTATGAATTTTTTATGCAAATTGAGTACCAACCAGTTTATGAAAATCTTGAAAAATATTTGGAAGTTCACTCTTAAATTTCAAAAGGTACAACCAATTTATCCTTGTAAAATCATCAACAAAGGTTACAAAATACCTATACCCATCAAAGGACTCTAGTACAGGACCCCAAATGTCTGAGTGAATGATTTCAAAATGATGACCAGCTCTAGAGGTGGAAGAATCAAAAGGCAACCTAAAAGACATAGACAAGTGACAAATATCACAATGTAACTTGTCTTTACATAATCCTGGAAACAAAAAAGACATCACTTTTTCCAAATGATGTGTCAAATGTTGGTGCTAAAGTTGTTGCTCTTGAGAAACACCGGAGCTAACTTGAACAAACTTGGGATCCTTGGTGTCTTTAGCTAGGTAGTAGAGGCCATTCAAAAATAAACCTTCACCAATCATCCTCTTGGTGATGATATCCTAAAAAATAACATTGTGAGGGAAGAAAATGGCTAGACAGTTTAGAGAATTGGTGATGGTTCCTACTGATAAAAGTTGAAAAGGAAAAGAAGGAATGTAAAGGGCTACTAACTCTATGCGTTTTGACAGTAAGTTGACCTTTCCCTTTCCTTTTACTGGGACACATTTACCATTAGCTACTGACACTAGAGAATGTCTTAACTTTTTTTCAAAATTATACAGGTTGGTAATTTGATTTGTCATATGATTTGTGGCTCCTGAGTCTATGATCCAATAATCATGCTCATTACTAGCATTTAGAGCAGTAAAGAAATCACTTGAAATACCTGGAATATCTTTCTGCGAGACATGGTCATGTTCAGCCAAGAAACAAGCAAATTTTCCAAGTAGAGCTGTGTGATTCTTGTCTTTAACTACATAGGCTTCATCTCCACTGTTATGCACCTGTTTGCTGTGTATGTATGCAGCAAATTCATTAAGTAATGTAACAGCATTGGCAGTGAAGTTTGCCATTCCCTCAGTTAAAGAAGTAGATGCATAATTGGCTTTGTAGGCATTGCTGCTATTCATGTTTCTCTGTGGGCCGCTTGTCTCTTTCAAGAACTTGGGCTTCAACTCTGGATGAAATATCCAACACTTGTCTTTTGTATGCCCAAATGTGTCACAGTAGCTGCATTTCAACTCCGATCTCTTCCCTTTGTAAACTTTGTCCTCAAATCGATTATTGTTAGAGACATAAGCCCTTTGGCTGATGGCACAATCACCGGAGAAAGAAGAAAGCTTAGCATTCATTAAAACATGGCTTCTGAGATCCTCAAATTCTGGACCTAAGCTTGCCAAGAGCTGAAAGATCTTGTCTTCTTTAGCTCTCTTGATTAATACAGTGGTGTGAAGACGATAAACATCAAGCTCATTCCGCATGCTTGTAGAACTTACAAGCTCGAGATATCTTTCTTAAGCTAGAAGACGCATGCAACATTATTTTGATTTCTATACATCTCTTTAACTTGATTCCAGAGATGCATAAATGACTTAGAATAGCTAAAAATTTTAACAATCCTACGGTCCATGGAGTTGAGCAACCAAGACATAACCAACTGGTCTTTGCATAACCACGACTGATAGGCAAAAGAAGTAACTATAGGAACCTCGATGGCACCATTGACATAGCCTAGCTTGGATTTCCCTCCAAGTGCAAGTGAAACAGCACGAGTCCAGGGAAAATAGTTGAATTCATTCAACAGAACAGAACTTAGATGTTAATTAGGGTTGATATCAATGTCGGGTGGAATTGCATGAGCCAATGGGCTTTCAGCTTTAGAGGAGTTTTCTTTAGCCATCTTGGCTTAAAGTAAGAAGAACTCAGCAGAAACAAGCAATAGAAACAGGAATTTAGGGTTCCTACTCTGATACCATCTTGAATTTTGATGTGTCTATTTCTTGAATGAAATCGGTTACAACACCAAACGTACAAACGAAAGTATTGGAGAGGACAACAGTCAACCCTCAAATCACTCCACAAATCACTCTTAATCTATTTACAATAACAAGGTTAATTACAACACAAGTAAGCACATTGGACAAAGGACAAAACCCTAGCTTTGTATTACACTTTGAGTAAAACTCTAAACCCTAGTTGACTATAGGATTAGACTTCTATCAATGGGACTCCCGATAGCCTCCAATCTTCCAACAATGTACAACAAGGATCATCTGGCAACGATTCGACAAGTTGGTTTGGGTAATAGGTTTGGGAGAGTTTAATCTTCAGCATCAAAAAGTCTTTGTGGCCTTTTAACTTGGTGACATTGAGAATTATCAGAGAAACGAGCCAAAGGTCCACTTTCAACGACACCGATATTGTCTCTAACTTGATAATTACCACATGCACAATCCGTCAAGTATAAGGTTTTACCACAAAGGGCGTCAGTGTTAGTTAGAATGGGGTTATGATATTTAAATTCTTCTTGTCTCAGAAATACAACCGATGTGGGATATTTCAACATGCCCCCTCATGTGAGACCCAATTACTGGGTCGCACACGGGAGATCCACACACCGGCAACCACGTGGAGCCAAAGGGATTCACCCTACACATGAGGCTATGGGACACACCATCATCACGCGTGGATCTCCCAAGTGTGACCCACTAATTAGGTCTCAAATGAGGGGACATGTTAAAATACCTCACATTGGCCGTATCTCTGAGAAAAGAAGAGTTTCAATATTCTAACCCCACTTTAACTAACACCAAGGCCTTTTGTGGTAAAACCCTACACTTGATGGATTGTGCAGGTGGTAATTACCAAGTTTGAGACAGTATCAGAGTTGTTGGAGTGTGCCTTTGACCTGTCTCTTTGATAATTCTACAAACATATGTCCACGCACATAACAGAACTTAAACACAACTTAACATTGTCAACTTTTAGTTATTAAAATAAAATATGAGCCACTTAATACTACTGTCTAGTGTCTCTTGTAAGTGAGAGGTCTGAGTTTCGATTCTCGCCAAAGGTGAATTTAACTACATTATTGCTAACTCATTATAAGGTAGGGTAGGGATGTTTTTGTATGTATGGGTCATACGACCACCTGGTCCGGTCTCCAGACCAAAGAATTTCTCTAGATGGAGGGATTTGGACGAATGAATAAGCATTTGTCAATGGGGGCAAGCACATTGCGTGGTGAATGATCTCCAAAAAAAAGGATACTACTTTCTTCATTTATTGTCACGTGTTCTTGGACATACAATGTTACATATAATATTAAGGAGAAAAACTTGCAATATTCTAAAAAATTGTTAGGCAATAATGGGATAGTGGCAGCTGTGGTGGTGGATTTATAAAATATTATTTGGGAGGCCAATAAGAATAGCGCGCAATTTTTTTTTGCATGCATGTCGACATGTGCCAATAGCTTCCGAGTGAGTATGTCGACTAATGCCAATAAATTTTGAGCGAACATGCCGACAAATGGTAACGTATGCCGAGTGAGCCTATCAACATATGCTTATAGCAATGCATACAAAGGCATGAGGCTACAGCTACCCAACCTAGTGCTCATAGAGGCAATTTGTCGAGCAATTGAAGGGAAGCTTTTAAGGACATCTCAGATTTTCAAAGGGCAACATACAGCTCTTCTATTGAGAATTTCCAAGCTTGAAAAGGTCAATTGACTCACCTTACCCCAAAGTGGATCCACCTCGGTCGCTAGATGGTGAATTGGTAAAAGATTTGGTCTATGAGCTTCTTGGAGAATAAATGATGGAGGAGAAGTATTGGCCCAAAAGAAGGACAAGTAAAAAGGTAGTGTTTGAAGGAGAGAAGTATATTATGATCATGATAAGATTCATGATTTTGTACTCAAGATCTCATCCAAGAAATTAAAAACCGAATGCCAATAAATTCAATGCATAGTCGCAGAAAAGTTTTGACTTATGTTTAGACTAATGTAACAAAAAAATTGTAATTTACACATTATGGTATAGAAATCTCACTCACTAATATTACTTAAAAGCAAGACTAACCTATTGGCTTGATGATTTAGGTCAGTTAAACCCATAGGATTTGTTCAAACCATAGTTGGATATGAAGGCGATACAAACTTGGGTGCAAAAGGCCAAAAATATTGCTTTGATTGACTCATTTAACCTTTGTAATTACAGTACATTTTTTATTCATGTATGATTATGTTATTGAGGCCTTGCCCGTGGGAGACTTGGGAGTATATTCAAATGACTATGACTAGATCAATTAATGGACCTGGTCTTTCCTTTCTTCTCTTCTAATTCAAATTGTTTGAGTTTTAAGACGTAATTTCTTGTACTAAGTATAAGATAATGGAAGCATAGATGTGGAAAAACATAAACAAATTAGAGAAAGGTTGGCTCTAGCATCCATTTTTCGTGTTGTAGTATACAACTTGTTGCACGAGAGTTTGTCTCGTTTGATGGATTTGGTTAATTAGAAGTTAGCTGTCCTAAAACATTGGAAAGCCTCCAATGAGATAAGTTAAGTTATGATATCATATAATCCTTTTAAGTAAGTGCATGAGTTGCTTTCGGTCGTTCTGTTGAATTAATATTAGAGGGCTAAATGCCACCTAAGTGAGATTATCTTCTTCATTTGGCCTCATTAAATATGACAGACAAGTTTTTAGGGCTTTTTAGGGTGGAAATAGAGGATGGGGATTTTTCCCAGATCCTCTTTGTGAGGATTCTGGGAATAACTTCATTACGTCCGTTTATCGTACATCATGCGGCCAATTTTCGTCAAGTAGTGTTTGTGTTCAATTTTAAATAAAAAAATTCAAAATGGGCCACATGATGACAAATGAACGGACACAATGAAGTGATTCCTATGATCCTCACAAAAAGGATCCGGATAGGATCCTATTCCGGAAATAGAGAGATGGAGTGAGAGTCGATCACATCATACATTGCCAGACCTAACTTTAACTCTACCTAATTCAGACAGGTTTTATATTCTCATCATAATCTAACCTAATTTTATTGGTAGTATTACAATTTACATATGTAACTAAATTTTATCTGTGGTTATTTTCCATAAAACTTCTCACTTTGGTAGTGTTCCTAGTTTTCTTCTCTTCTCTCACGGCGTCCTCTTTCTCTCCCCGGTCCTCAAACTTCTCACTTCAAACCGAACAAAATTACACCCCAGCAATGTTGGTTTAAGCGCACAATTTAAGATTGGTGCCTTCTCAACCGATATTTGGCACAATTGACAATTAGTTGTGTTCTCTACGTTACCGACATAATAATTTCGTGCCTAAGCAGGGCACAAATACTAAATAGATGTGTCCCAGCACATTGTGGGCACAATCACCGGGCCAAATTTTCATTTGCAAAGAGCGCGCATCAAGTTTTCGTGCCTCAGAGACCAGTAAAAGAAGCTGGCCCCTGACATGATCTCATAGAGCACAATAGCTAAAAATCGTGCCTTAGATTTCAATTATGCAAGCGCATGCGTTTGTCCTATCAGTTCATCACAGGTACATGTCACGAAAAGCTTCAAATGTGGCATGTTGGGTTTAGAGTGTATTCGGTATGGTTATCATATTAAAACTTCTATATCAATTACTAAGTCAACGGAGCCCCAATTACCGTACCAAAACCTCCTTCATCATTTCAACTTTATACTCAACACCCCAACAAGCTTGAATTATGAACTCATTGAGTTCCACATGCATCTTCCATTGAGCCCCAGTCATAAAATAAAAACACCAGCTATACTAATTATAAAAATCAAGCAAGTATTTTTTATTTTTATTTTTTTATCTCCTTAAGGAATCAATCTACCTTACTATCATTCCATCCAAGTGTTTTGAAGTTGATAAAAATCATTAAAGTTTATAACAAGGGTCTAGAACTTGGCCAAAAAAAATAAATGGGTTCACATTCTCAAAACTCTCCCAATACTTATTAAATTTCCACATTACTGTAGTAGCCACCCTTTGCACTGTAGTATTGATAGCATCTTTTTATTCTCAATCTCTATTTGTAATGCAATTGATGTGTTAGAAACTAGCACTCAAATTAAACCCTCTTGTTGACAATTGTAGTAAAGATGCAAGTAGGGATCGTTCTAGATCGGGGATTATGAGGGATTGCTTATCTACCTAAAACTGACTTTAAAACATAAAACTAGGCTTAAAAATATTAACTAGACTTATATGATTCAAAACAAACTAAAAAGACTCAAAACAGTATAAAACAATCAAAAAGACTCAAACTAGACACTAAAGGGTGATTTGGACGAATTCTAACTTTAACTTGACTCACAACACTTAAAAACACAAATTGGACAGATTCTAGCTAATTTGACACAACAAAGTAAAGGGGATTGGGTTTTTGACGAATTTGAAGTAAAAACAAGAAAATTGCAGAAACTAAATAAAGGAATACAAATTTGGGTGAATTGATGGGTGATTAGCTAGCTAGAGGGTCCTTCTCCACACATGATACACTTGCATACAAATTGATTTCCAGTTGCTTTTTCAATAAACCATGAACCTCAACACCCCAGATTAACCGTGACATTTCTAATTAACCCTCAAATTTTCCTTAAGTCGTTGAATTGGATGGAATACGCATCAGCAACGAAACTATTCTTCAATAGTTCCTTACATGAACAGCATAATAGAGATACAATCAAAGATCATTAAGCTTTGTGAAAATCATAAGTATTGACAAGGCATTCGTAACTATGACATCATGATACTCATGCCAAGAATTCAACTTAACATGATCATGACCAGCGACCTTCACTACTTGTGAATATAAGTTCATAACGATTATGTGAAACTCCTTTATATTCTAGCATCAAATTCATGCATGCAAACTAAGTGTGCACCCTTAATCAACATATAATAATAAGTTCTTAATCCAACAGTCAAGCAAATTGCATTCACGATTTATGAAATCACAACTGGAGTTAATCAATTCATATTGCAAATATAATCATGGTTTCAAAGTCACCTGTAGCTAAAACAAGTTTAGCCTCTCATGTTCACAGCAAAACAAAGAAAACTTAAATTAAACATTGAAAACAAAGATTGAATACACCTAGAAACGCTCCAACAATCCAAAAATCTTGAATGGCAAGCACGGCTCCAAGGGGCCTACTCTCCTTCTTCTTTGCTGCGGCACAAAGGGTGAATGGGTGTAAAATTGGGTTGTGGTGTATGGTGAATAGGTGGTGCGGATTTTGGTGATGGAGAGTGGATGAATGATGGCTGAATGGGTAATTGGTTGTAGGGCTTTATTTTGTGCGGCAGATTGTCTAAAATAATGGGAGAAATGCAAGGCATTAATTAATTAATTTGGGAAGGTTTTAAGACTCCAAATCCTCCAAGAAAAGGGTAACAAATCAAAATCCCAAGAGGAAAAAGGAGGGGAAGCAGCGGCAAGGTCCTAGAGAGAAGGAGAAAGGGATTTGCTGCAAGGAAAGGGAAGGAAAGGTCATGCCTTGCACGGCAAGGAAGGATTCCTTGCAGATTTGGTGCGGCATCCCTCTTTGACTAGGATTAGGGCTTCTAGAACTTATATTTAAGTGTCCTAAATCAATTAGGAACCCCCTTTGCAGCTGGAACATAAGTAGAAAAAGATTAGGATTGACTAAGTCAAAATAAGGAAGTTTGACTCATGTTTCCTTCTTTGTAGCTGATTCCTTTTCTTCCAAGTCTTGAATTAATTTCTTCCATCTCTTTAGCAGATTCCTAGCCTCCTTTGGTCTTCAATTTCGTCCATCCACCTTGCTCCAAGCATGTGCTAACCATTCCAAGCCCAAAATTGCTCCAAAATGCACTTTCTTACCACTTTAGCCAATTGGACCTAAAAACACACGAAAATAGCTTAAAATACTAAAATAACTAGAAACTAACAACATAAATGCAAGAAAACAAGCTCACTAAGTTGCATAAATATGCTCCTATCAGCAACCACTTGACCAAGTAGCAAAATTGATGTAACCTTTTTGGTTCGTCTAAGTTTCAAAGTAGAATCATGAAAATTATTGAGAAAGTGAGAGTAGACACTTAGGCTATTAGGAATACGCATACAGATAATATGGCAGACAAAGAAAATAAGTGACAAGCTGAAGCCTGAAATGGGAGAAGGCTTAAGGATCGGTAAGTACTCAAAAATGGGATTACCTTTGCATATTTTACCATTTCGTTTTGGTAAAATGGATAAAGCCATCTATAACCACTTAATATAGGTCCAATTAACCATTAACAACCAATAATCATACAGACTTTGAGTTGAAGAATCAACTAAACATAAAAGAAACAAATTTATTGATTTAGGGTTTTAGAAATCACCTTACAATTGACCCACAGTTCGTTAGAGAGTATGATACGGACAGCCGCGATCGAGAGACAAAGATGAAGGTGAGAATCGACAAGATAGAGTGTCAATGGGAAGATATAAGAGACAAAACAAACCAAATTTATTTTTTACATTTTTCAATATCATCGATAATGATATTGAACACCAATACCATCATAGAAAATCTCGGTTTGGCACAAATATTGTGTCATTACCAATTGTCACAAAAATTTGACATAAAATCGGTATGGCACGGTTCGATTGGCACAATAATTTATAAAAAAAAATAAAAAATCCACCCCTTGTTGGGTTATATGTTTCCAAATATGATGTTTGTATCAAATAAGTTTTCTCATTCCACTACGAGGTTTGTATCTTTAATATTTCTCCGGTGGGACTTCAAAAGATAAAGTTGTACTATAATTTTTTGATAGTACTATTTACACACCTCTTTTTATCTTCCATACGGTCATTCATTCTTTGTTAATTTTTTGTCTTTGATCTTCTTCAATTCACTGTGACGGCCAAAAATTGAAAGGAATTTGGTGGAAGTAAAAAGAGATGTGTGGATAGCATTACACTAATTTTTTTTCCCCAAATTTCTCCTCTCTCTCTCTCTCTCTCAATTTTTCTTTTGCTCTTTCAAAGACGTCTCTCACCAAATCTCCGTTCCCGAACATAGATTTCAACTTTCCTTCTCTAATCATCGCATGATCTTCCTTCTTCGTCTTAGCTCTCTGCCGCTTGCTCGCCAACGTTATTGTGCATCAGCTCACTGCCGCATGCTCGTACTCAATTCGAGATCTACTCACTTTGACTGGTCGCCTACTCACGTGCTCTTGCTTGACTAGTCGACGACACACCATTCATACTTAACCTAAGATATTCAGGTTGTCACTCTGAGAGCGTGGTTGGGTTTTTTCTTTTTTTATTTATAGGTAATTTTTCTTTTTCTTTTTCTTTTTTTTTTCTGAATTTTCGATTAAATTATTTTCCTTGTTCAAGTTTCAAGTTCTTGCACAAACCGACCCATTAAATGTGCTTGCACCATGAGCCACAACATAGGGCACAAATATAAGTGCCCTTTATAGCTGGAGCACAATAGGTTTTGTGCCCTTCGTCTAACATTATTGGGTTTTTTAGCCAAAATAATTCATGAGATTTGCATAACTTCTCACTTTGATCTTTGAGCTTTGAAATTGATAGAAGTGGTCTCTAAGATTGTCCAATATCAATGATTTGACAAAATTTGAGGGTATTTTTGTCATTTTAATTCTTATTTAATAGAGATTTTTCAAGAAATGATCAAAATGATTGATGATGAATAATCTCAGGGACCAATTCTATCGATTTCAAATCTCAGGGACCAAAGTGATGAGTTATGCAAATCTCATGGACCATTTTGACTAAAAACCCCTTTTTTTTTAACAATCGATATTATCCACACTAAAAGGAAAAAGGGTGGACTTGCCTCACAATGAGCTAGCAATAATGTGATTCAAATTTGCCTTTACGCAAGAATCAAACCTAAAACCCCTCACTAAGTGGCTTCATCTGACATTCGCATAATGTTATTTCGCTACATAAAATAACTTTTTATTTAATTGACAATCATACAAAGTGGAAGATATTTTAGCCATTTGCATCAAGCTCAAGCTTCCTTCTTGCATGCGTGCTCCTCCGGAAGCACACACTGAATAAGAGGTAAAAATTGATTGGTAGCATACTCGGTCAAACGTGTGATTTTTTCGCCCACTACAGATCCCATATTACCACCCATAAACTGAAAATCCATAACACCAATTGCTACGGGAATACCATTTAGTTGACTTCATCAAGTGAAGCCATATCTCGTCGGCCATGATTTTTTATAATTTCGTGGATGGCTCTCACCCTTTTCCCTCTCTCATTACTCCCGACCCTAAATACAAAGTAAAAGGTGAGAAATATCCTGAGATCCCTAATCCTAACTCCGCTACTAGGATTCAACAAGATCAACTCATTGTTAGTTGTAAATAATTCATCACAAGAAAAGTGTTGTAAACACAAAAAGATACACAATGTAAAATTTATTGACCAAGAGGGTAGCAACAATTGAATATCCAAGTGCGCAATGAACAAGACTACAAAATAATAAGAATATTATTAAACAAACAAGAACGTCAAAACGGCAACAAAATCCTAAAAGGCTACATCGTGACTAACTTGTTATTCATACTAAACTATAAGCTATATTTATACACAACAAAACCTAGAAACGCTAATTCGGATGGGCTAAGCCCGTATACTAAACTAATTAACAAGTAAATCTAAATAATCAAATAACCATAAAATACTAAACTATTTTTCAACACCTCTATCAAACTCATAGCGGTACACAACATAAGTTTGCAAACAAGCAGATGCACAGACTGACTACATTAGGCTGACTTGACTTGGATGCTGGATGTTTCAGTTACAAAGATCTCCAAACTGCAACTAATAATTATTCGCTGACGCTAGGCCAAGGAGGTTTTGGCTCAGTTTACCAAGGGAGTCTCCCAGATGGGACTCAACTGGCTGTGAAGAAGTTGGAAGGCGTTGGTCAAGGAAAGAAAGAGTTTGGAGCTGAAGTTAGTATCATTGGCAACATCCATCATCTGCACTTGGCCCTGCTCAGAGGCTTCTGTGCAGAAGGAAGTCATCGACTTCTGGTTTACGATTACATGGCAAATGGATCTCTTGATAATAGGATTTTCAAGAAAAACAATGGAGAATTCATATTGGATTGGGAGACAAGATTCAACATACATTGTGTACGGCTAAAGGACTAGCTTATCTCCACGAACATTGTGATTCGAAGTTTGTTCAGTGTGACATAAAGCCTGAAAACGTTCTCCTCGACACTAGTTACCTTGCCAAAGTCTCAGATTTTGGTTTGGCAAAGCTAATGACCAGGGAGCAGAGCCATGTTTTCCCAAAGCTAAGAGAAACCCATGGGTACCTTGCACCGGAGTCGATCACCAACTGCCCAATATCAGAGAAGAGTGATGTGTGCAGCTATGGAATGTTGTTGCTAGAGATCATCGGGGGGAGAATTGGGGGGAGAAAGAACTATGACCCGACAGAAACTTCAGAAAATTTTCCATCTTATGCCTTCAAGATGTTGGAAGAAGGCAAAATGAGGGACATCCTGGACACAAAACTAGGAAAAGATGAAGCAGACACGAGGGTACACATCCATTACGGTTGCTCTGTGGTGCATACAGGAAGATATGTCTTTGAGACCATCAATGACGAAGGTTGTCCAAATGCTTGAAGGCATGTATCCTATTCCTCAGCCTCCAACCTCCAACTCAACGGGGTCTCATTTTTATACAAATTTATTCAAATTGGTCAGCAAGGAGGGGACTTCCTCAGGACCATCGGACTGCAACAACGAAGCCTATCTTTCTACAGTGCGCCTCTCCGGCACATGATAACATTTGCTGAAGATGAGAGACATGTACACATTGTTTATCTCCCATATTTCTGTATATTTTTCTCCGTTTATTGAAATTTTGTAACCTTAGCCGTTACCTTTTTCTTAGCTCAAGTTCTTTATATTTTTCTTGGCATTGCTTTTTCTGTAAATAATGAGTGTTCAATCTAGTTGAATATTGCAATATGAAGTGGAATTCCCTTCATCTCTCTCAAGCAGCTGCACGTTTTAATGTTTAAGACTCAACAATACATCTCTGAAAACCAAATAAGAGCCAAAGCACCATACTCCAAGAGACAAAGGTGCTACTTTCTTTGTCTCCCGCTTCCATTCCCGGCCCGTTACCATCTCCGATTTGTTATAAGGATTACTCCGTTAGGTCTTTCTGGTCCATCACAGGCCAGTAATAGACCTACTTACATGTTGACAAGCTCCAGAGCTAAACCGTTGCTCCATTGCTTTGGTGGCTTTGAACAAATTTTATCACGTCATAAATCAACTCGTCTAATGATACTTTTCTTCCTAATGTTACAAAGGGAGACCCGAGTTGAATTGCCTTACTTTTTAATGAACGATACGTCCCTTCTTAATGTTGGAAAAGATCTCAAGTTTGAATTGGACGTCCGTAATAGATTCGAAGTTTGAATTGCGATTATGAACGCCCAAATTATTTTCTTAATGTTGAAAAAGATCTCAAGTTTGAATTGGATGTCCATAAGAGATCCTAAGTTTGAATTACGTTGACGACGCCCGTTGAATAGATTGGGTGTAGGATTTCCCATGAACTCAACAACATGGGATGAGGCCCTTTTTCCTACATAAATCTCTCTTCTTGAAATGCCACAAACCCATGTCTCATTACCTCAACCATCCGTTAGGTATGGCGCCAACTACCTCCACCGCCTTCCTCCTCAGCTCCTCAACCCCGTCCATCTCTCCCGCCTCTTCCTCCACCACATTCCCGTTCAACTTCATCTTTCCCGCCAAAGCCCTCTCAACGGTGAATTTTAGCGCCAATCCTCTCCACGCCGTCAGTGCCGCCACTTCAGGTAAAAGCTAACAAAACCCTAAATTATCTGTTTGGTTGGTTGGAGAAGTGAAAGGAATCTAAATTCTGTAAATTGATGCACCAAATGTTGAAAATCTCAGGTAAAGATCACGTCTTGGGCAGAAGAGGACTGGTGCTTTCACTTACTGCCACACTGCCATTGCTGCTTCCTTTCTATGAATGCACGGCGGCGAAGGCGGCTGAGTGAGTTGAACAAAATCTCTGATCTTTTCGTGTATCAAGAGATTTAAATTTGTGTAAAGTAATTACTGGGTTTTGTCTGTGGCATTTGGATGGTCGGATGGAAGGGAATATGAGCTTATGAAGGAGGAGATCAGGAAGGTGGTGACGAAGGGTAAGGCTGCCGGCGTGCTTCGTTTGGTGTTCCATGATGCCGGGACCTTTCAAATTGATGATAATTCAGGTGCAGATATCTATACGCATTGACCTTGCTCCATACACCTTACTCATTTGCACTAGTTCATTGCCTTTTGAAGTTGGAGTAACATCAATTGGAGTTAAGATTCCTACACTTCCTGCAATACCCACTTGGGTCTTGTGGATTGGGGATGCACGAGTGGTTGATATATGTTGCATTGTACAATCATTTTGCCACTGACATGTTTCACGTTGAAACAACTGATATATTGTCCAAATTTCTTTCAAATGAGGAATTACAAGTGCTCTACTATTACTGTAATGCATCTTCATAGCTGTTGTTAACTTTGCAGGTGGTATGGATGGTTCTATCGTTTATGAACTTGATAGACCGGAAAACAAAGGTCTTAAAAGTCCTTTCAAGGCATGCCCCTTCTTGACTTCATATATAGATGTGTGCAGATTCAATCTTTTGGTTTCCATCGAGTTCCCAATTTTTAATCTTTTGCATAATGATTGAGTAAACAAATTAATTTGTATGATCTTCTACCAGCTAATTCCTCTGTGGATTGAATTGTTGGTTAGATTCTAGAGAAAGCAAAGAGCGAGGTGGATGCAGTCAACCCAGGTTTTCCATCTACTAGACACGTTTGTCTAGGTTTCAGTAGTGCCGGTGTTTTGGTTCTGTGCTAACATGTGGGTGTTTCCAAAACTAGTGTCCTGGGCAGACATGATTGCTGTGGCTGGAGCAGAAGCAGTTTCAATATGCGGAGGTCCAACAATCCAAGTCCCGTTGGGCAGACTAGATGCAAAGTAAGATGCATCAAGGGAAAAAATGCCAACATCTGAATCTTTTCAATAATTCAGTTGCCAAGTGTTGCTAGTGTTAACGCAAACACTACAAGGAGAAAGAAAAAAAAAAATTCTAATTCTTGTAGGAACATCAATCTAATGCTACCAAAAGCTGGTAATTCCTATTTTAAGAAATGATGTAGTGAATAGCTACTTCTCTCTATCTCTCATCTTTTTCTTGTTTTTTATTTATTTTATCATCAGGGAGCCTGATCCTGAAGGAAAACTGCCTGAAGAAAGTCTGGATGCTTTGGGTCTGAAGCAAAGCTTTCAAACAAAAGGCTTGTCGTAAGTTCATATATGCTAAAACCTTTGCATTTGGTGGACGAGGTGTGGTTGTTTCGTTATATTCAAAATAAACCAGATATGCATGAAGATTATAGTCCTTGAGATATCAATGGACATTTTGTTGATAGATTTACTTAGTTTCTGCATTTAATTGATTTCTGTTCTCGTTATATGGTTATAAGTAAACCACTTTGTCAAACTTTATTATCCTTGATTTACCTTGGTACAGGAGTTGAAGGGAAACATGACCTTTTATATTTTTTTCAGAACTCAGGAACTTGTTGCTCTGTCAGGAGCTCATACTATTGGAAATAAAGGTTTCGGGAACCCAACTGTTTTCGACAATACATACTTCAAAATTCTGCTTGACAAACCATCTTCAGGTAAAATAACAGTAACATGGATATAAGGTGCATAATAAATGAGGCTTAAAAGAAACTCGGCTCAAGCTCCCACTATTGGGGAATCTGTGTTGCAACACAATAACTGAGCAACAATAGAAACGTAGGAAAACAACGGAGTAATGAGAGTGAGAGAACTTTCAAATTTCTGTTTAATCTTCAATGAGATTATTTTTTTCATTTTGATGCACAAGTATGATTGATCAATTGCTTGGTTAACAAAGCCATTGTTTTTTCTATCATGATATCAACGATAACGTGGAAAAAAAGTATCGCGACTTATACACACGGCTTTGAAAATCCATGACTTGATAGACAATTATTTTCTCTTGTCAAAATATCAATTTTTGTTGTTCGATTCCTGATTCTGTTCTTTGCATGCAGGTAGCATGATTGGCCTTCCCTCGGACCGTGCACTTGCCAAGGGTGATGAATGCTTAAGGTCTATTTCCTTTCAAAAACTTTAATCTGCACTTTTTCCTGCCAGTCGACGACCCGACCCAGTTACTCGTACACGTATTAAAATGAATATTATCTGGTCAGAAAACTTCGAAGAAAAAAAGGGCCATTATTTAAAGCAGAAAAATCTAAATTCAATGAAAATAAATCCACAAGCTCCTCACAGTAGTTGAGATAATTGTGATCATCCACAATTTCCATATGCAAGAGTTGATATTTCTGCTTAATATTCTACACTAGGAGAGGAATTAAAGGTTTTGTCACTGTGAGTTGACGCAACAATTGCGAATGTTTAGAACAATGGCCTACTTCTGTATTACTTTGATCTAACATATCTTGCATAACTGCCTGATATGTCATGCTCCAGCGATCAGAAAGTTAATAGAAATTTCCTGATCCATGCAAGCAAAACACATACGTGTAGTATCTGTTTCTTATTCATATCCAACTGAAGAGAATCTTGCTTCCTGCGCAGCTGGATCACAAAGTATGCCGAGGACCAGAATACGTTCTTCGAAGATTTCAAGACGGCTTATCTCAAACTAGTGAATTCGGGAGCCAGGTGGAAGAGCTTGTGAAATAATTGCAGAAGCGAGCAAACTTGACGTTTATGACACAGTAATGGAACACAATAAAGAGATCAAGAAGCGAAGCATTGGCAACAAGGGCTGAGTCTTGCTAGAATGAAGAATTAATTAGCTGCAAGCGTTAATTGAATGATTAGCTGACAGATAAGGTGAGACCCCAAGCAAGACTTATCTTGTATAATTAACATTATGTCAAATAATTCAGCCAATTCAGATATGAAATAACTAATTTTTGGACTACAAGTATGGCTACATGATGTGAGAAAGTCAAGGTTATTAGAGCTATCATAAATTTCTCTGTGCATGACTCATTTCCTTTTGAACGAGTGTTATTTGTATGACATTTACTTACCGCTTTTCTATCTGACCAAAACCTTGAGTATGACTCGAGATATATCGCCTTCTCTCTTTCTGAGCATGCAACAGGGATAAATACTCTGATGATACAATTAATCACACACACACTGTTATGTGTTTTAAGAACCTCCATTATCTGCTTGTGGTTGATTTCTCAACGAACACCAAAAACAAAGAAACTAAAAAGAGAGTAATTATATTCAGTGGAGTTGTTATCCAAAAAGGATGGTGGTGTGCTTGTGGGTCAAGCAACTCTTAAGGGTCGTATTCTAGCTTTGATTCAATTTTTTCCATATAATAAACAATGCAAGAATACATGTACAAAGGAGATGCTGAAAATATATGGACATCTCAACTCCACTTTCATCTTTTATTTTATTTTGTTAATTTGACTAGCTCTGGTCTTTGTGGTCGCCAATTAATGGTTCTCGTTGATGGGAAAAGAAAAATAATATTGCAAAATAACATGATAAAAATTGAATTGTTATCTAACAAATTGTCATTCTACTTTCTTTATTTCTAAAAATATAAATAAAGAGTAGAGTACGACATTTTATTTTTTTTTTTTGGATTAAACGATAGATTTGTTCAATAAGATATTAGATTAGGGATCTAACGGGGTTTAAACTCATGCTGTGGTGCAAAAGCAATACTCCTCTCCACTACTATGCTAGAGAGTCACTTGCTTCAGTATGACATTTTTAGAGTGCTGATAACATATCCAATTAGAAATATGTTAAGTATAATGATCAATGTGTAGACCATTGATGTGAAAATTTAAGCATCGCCCCATTTTTTTACTTAGAAAGACAAACATATAGAGAAATAACTTATTGATAAAACAAATAAATAAAAATTATTTACATCATAAATTGTGATTTGCATGTAAAAAAAGAAAAAAAAGACTCGTTCCTAAGAAGAAATACGTATTTTTCTAGAAAGGGATCCAGATTTCTCCTAATTCATCAAGTCCGAAGATCCGAGTCATTGAAATTTGATCTAACGACTATAAATAGAGGTCTACTTTAAAAATTATAATAACTTTAGCTGTTTTTCCCTTTTTTTAGTTAGATACATCATTTTTCCCTTTCTTTTGCTGTCCAGGACTACATAAGGACAGTGAAGAGGAGCTAGGGTCCTTTTGCTGTCAGACTAGACTGTATCATATGTTGTGTTCAGTTTATACGCCGGATACTTTTCCTGGGATTTCAGGGATGGTGTAATCATATTTTTTCATCGTTTATTGTACAGTCAGAAATCATTTTAAAATTAAATATAAATAGTACCTAATAAAAACTAACCGTACAATGTACGATGAACGAACATGATTACACGATCCTTGAAATCCCCAAGAAAAAGATCCGATATTTATGCATCTTTCTTTTTATGAAAATAATCAAACTATAATCCTTTTAATCAAAATTACTTTAAAATCTTCATCACATATCTCTGCAACCAGCTTATCTTAATTAATACTAATATATGTACTTAGGAATCTTCATTATTTTATTTGATTAAACCAAAGTTATCACTTTAAACAGGCTTTCACAATAATGTCTGTATCTTTAAGCATTCATCCAAATAAAAAATGTGTGTATAAAGATCTATACATGCACATTCCAGATTAGTAGTTCACGCATTTGTGGCCCTAAAAGGATATTAAAATGTTTTTTTACTTTCTTAAGTTAATCAACTTGTCTGTCACTGTAATATTTATTTATTCAACGTCAGTCCTGCATGCATGAGATCTAAATTTAAGATTTTCTCTATTAAAAAATAAAGACGAAGTACCGCAAGAACAAATCCTCTTTTGCTTTAATTACTGTTAATTGGGGTTTGATCAAAATTAAGTAATCTCCAGAGGCCTAGAGGGGTCGAAACACTTTCACAAGATTGGCTTCAACCTAGTTAATTTGCAATAAGTTATAAAGACAAAGTTTTGGTAGGTATGGGAAACTCTAAGTCACAGACTCTATTATTTATATGTTATAATAAGGGTGAATACAAGGCTGGTTCATTGAGGTACTATTTGGTACGAGACGGAACGTGCTTGTTCCACATTTGGTGCGCGAAAAGAGTAGGACGTGTTGTCCTCTAGAACGGATTTTAGTTAAATTTTTGTTCTACCCTCACTCTCTGGAATGGACTCATTCCAGCCTATGGAACACAAAATTATAAATATTTGGACAACAATATCCCTTATCTTTTTCATTAATTCCACTGTCTACCCTCTCTCTCATGTAGCCTCTCTCTCTTCTCCTTCTCCTCCTCCACTACAAATCCAGCAACCCAACCATGGCTTCTCAACCATCTTCCCCACAAGACGACTTCATCCTCCATCTCCAATCGGCCCCAACACTAACCCAATCCCAACAAACCCACCCACCCAACCCCGTCTCTCCTACCTCTTCTCTCCTCCCTATTGGTCCCACGACAAGACCGTCTCCCTCTGCTGCACCAACATCAAGGCCACCCACTGGCAAGACATGACCGACACCGTCGCTCGACGATGCCCTGCTGCTTCTCTGGAGTCGTCACAAGATCGAAGCTTCTACCTTCTCTCTTTCTCCAGTAACCCCCTTCTCTTATACCTTTTCTCTCACGTAGCCTCCATCACTCCCAAATCCTCCACCGCCTCCCTTCCCTCTCTTTAATCTCCAGATCCTTCGCCTCCACGACTTCCTCTTTGTGGCAGCTCAGGACGCTTCGACATTGTCCCTATTGTGAGCAGTGACGCTAGTCGACTTGCACCCAGAGGTCCAGGGAAGGCCGAGTGGCATGCCAGGTGATGAGGTACAGAGCTCTGGCAATGATGGTCCTACACGATGGTCCCCCATTTTGCCTAACCTTCCTTCCCATAGCCATGACGGCTGCGGAAAATCCAATTTCTACAGAAAGTCCATGGGGTTGAGTCGATGGAATCGACGGAGAACCATGGGTACGTTTGTCATTTAATCATGTGAAAATATGACTTTAGCCTTTCAAACTCAATTTTCTTCATATAAAACCCTACATAACTTTTTTACTCAAAGAAAACCCAATGACTAGGATCCATATAAGCAAATTCATTAACTTCATATTAATTCACACATTTTACATTTTTCACATGCCTAAAATACCCCTATTACATACTTGATGTAGACAATTAATTGTAAGGAAATAGTAAATGATTTTGCAACAAGAAAAAAAAAAGACATTAATGTTAAAAATTTATTGCATATTAATTTTTTAGAAAGGTTTTGAATTTTCATAAAACTATTCGATTTAGTTTTTTCACCCTACTCTTGAATACTTTTGAATTTATCCCTTTTTATTAATATATTAGAACATTGTATTTCATTATCTACATGCACATTAATTTACCTACAACAATTATACCATGGGTGTAATATAATATCTCTTTTTTACAATGATGCAAAATAATATACCAACAACAAAACGTGCCTAACATATGTACTAATTACATGGAAAATAATTTAGCTATATTAAGAAGGAATGTAGTTCGATGCATAGTATTAAAAATATTATGTTACACCCATGTTTATAAAACAATAAAACGTGCCTAACATATCTAACAATACATGGAAAATAATTTACCTACAAGTTAGAGAAATGTTATTTGGTTGGGTGTAGCATAAATTTTTTTAATAATTGGAAAAATTAAATATAACTAGGTGTCGTGTAATTTTTTTTATATAATTAGAACAAATTAATTTACCTACCTACTCTTTGAAATGTTCATTTCCAATGATGCAAAATGTTCATTACCTAACTACAAATTAATTTCCAATAATTTACCTACACCAATTATACCATGGGTGTAGGTACCAACAACTAAACTTGCCTAACATAAGTACTTGTACATGGAAAATAATTTACCTATAACAAAAGAAATGCAGTTTGATGTATAAAATCAACAATATTATGTTCCACTCATGTTTATACAACAACAAAACGTGTCTAACATATATAACAATACATAGAAAATAATTTACCTACAAGTTAGAGGAATGTTATTTGATTCAAAATATATAATATAGGTGTAGTATTTTTTTTAAAATAATTGGAACAAACTAATTTACCTACCAATTAACATGGATAAAATTGCTGCAAAATATATCACGAAAAAAAAAAACTAATTTTCTAGTTTAACATAGATACGGTTAATGCAAACACTTTTTTCATTTTATTTCACTTTTTCTACTACTTTTAATTTGGCATAAATTTAGGAATTTGAAAAATGGACCATAAAGTATGAGTGGCATGAGTGTAAATAAATTGCATTAATAGGTCAATAGTGTTACTATATGTTTGCAAATTTTAAATTAGGGCTTAAATTGGATCTTTAAAGATAGATGGGTTTTTATCTAGAAATAATGAATTGTAAGGGCTAAAATCTAAAGCACCCTTTAATCATTCGTTTCATTCCGCCCTACACATACCAAACGCGGAATAGAACAATTGTCTCATTCCATCCAGTGCGTACCAAACGTAGCACGGAACCTCTGCTGCGTTCCATTCCATTATGTCCCATTCTGTCTTGTTCTATCCCATTTCTCCCGTCTATGTACCAAACTCTACTCAATTTCGAAAGCCCTGTGTGGGCAAAAAAATTGAGGCATTTTTCTGTTGGAAGTAAAATTAACACCTAATTTTGAAGAACACGAAGAACGTAATATCTATTACCTTTCAATGCTCAAGGCAAGCACAAGGAAATTACTATTATTTTAACCTAAACCACAAAGATAGGAAAGATCTTTTTTATTAAGGGTAAGGGCTAGAGCATGAAAAAAGAGAAACGTTTTCATTTCCTTGCACAGGTTTGCAGGTTTTTTTATAGAGGCCCATTTTTACTAGTTATAGAGGCTTTTTTTACTCTCATTTATCTTTTTGTACAAAAAGTGTGGCCAATTTTTTTTTCTATTTTTATACAGTAGTATTTTTCTTTACTAGTAAGTGAGAAATCTTAGGTTCAATTCTCACCAAAGATGAATTTGAACCACATTATTACTAGCTCATTGTGATGTTTAG